ACTTAAAAAAGATCAAAAGTATACATAGATTTAGGAACACTGTGTAGCAATATTCTCTTGTGCTGAGCTGGATCTTATTTTTTGTCTGGGCCAGGAGTCCTGTGCAAATTGATTTAAAAGGCCTAGTTGTAGGATGTGGATTGTAGGATGATGCTGAGCTGGCAGTGCTCTTGCTCTGAAAAAGGCAGATGGGATGCCGATGCATCAGGTATTACAAATGCAGATAAAAAAGTATTGATGTCACTGCAAACACTGCTACTCTGAAACAGAGAAAGAGATGTGATTCAAATCTTCTGTATTGAAAAAGATTAATTGAAACTGTACTGGAAGCAGAGACATGTTGCCTCTAAAATGGCAGAAGAGAATGACCGGATGTTTGTCTCAAGTAGCTGTGGAATGGATGATGTGATTCTAATTTCTAGGGAAAAAAATTGATGAAAAAAATTAGATAAGCCTAAATAAAATATTGGCTTAAGATAAAATGTACACAGGTCATTGATAAAATTTGGTTTAGAGTCTAAAAGGTGTTCCTGAGTGTTACAGCCAGTAGATTCTGGGATAAAAGGAGTGTTCAGTGGAGGAAGGAATCAGACTGGATTTGGTAGCTTTGCGATAGGTCTGTGGTGGAGATTCGGGGCTGTTGGACCCCAAGGAGCTTTCGGAGTGTATTTTTAAGCAGTTAGTGCCCTCTAGTGAGAGTCTTAGGTAATAATCTTGGTCCTGGTTTTGTAGTATGTTAACAACTCTTAACAGTACTTTGGTGTGTTACCGAAATGAAAGAAGCTTTGGTATTAAAAATGCAGGAGGATGAGTGTATGAAGAAAGATCCTATGAATGCAAGTCATCAAGTGGTTTGTATTGGGAGGGATCTTTAAAGGTTTATTATAAGTGTAACCACCTTCTCATGTGGATTGTGTCCTAAAATCTTAGGTACTTCTTTAGACGATCACTCAAGTTTTTGCAGTTCAGTGTAAAGCAGAAGATGTCAGCAAACTTGTGATTTCAGTCTTGACAACTGAAGAAGCACTGCATTACATACCTGTGGAACCAAGTGGCAGGATTAGAAGTACCAAACTCGTGGCAAAGTAGATGTTTCTGTTTTGAAATAAGCACATCATCTAAAAGCATAAATCAAGATAAAAATCGCTGCTTTCTTAGAAGTCAAAAAGTTACAGCTACTATTTTTTAAATATTTTTTTTCTAAAGGTTACAAAACCCCACTGGAAAAAAATCCTGGAGATGATAAAACAGATGAAGAGATGGAGGGGACACATTCAGAGGATGAAATGTTTGCTCAGAGAGGCCTTCGCAGAACTCAGAGTATGAAGTCTGTGAAAACTATTAAAGGCTGTAAAGAAGCAAGTATAATCCTGGTTAATTGAGTTTGTTCTTTCAGTGTATATTGGCATTATTCATAGTGCAGAAATTTATTTTTATTTTTAATATTGGAGAAGTTGTCAACAGTAACTGGGTTCCAGAATGCTAAATGGGAAAGAAAGCATGTGACAACAATATCTAAGTTTGGAGCTTTTGTAGTTTGATGTGTTTAGGGGAAATATATGTATGAAATTAATGAAGCAAGGAGCAAGGGAGAGGAGACGAAACAGACTCTGTATTTGAAATGCTAATTTTGGCACCACCAAGCCTAATTTCAGGAAGTGTTCGCCTTGAAAAGGGTATGAATAACAATAATATTATCTGTGTGTTGTGCACACTTAAACATCTGCTGTTTAATAGATAAAGAATATTCAGAATTTTTTAGTTGCCATAGACAAACAGCCTGACTCTTTGTGATCTACAAAGAGAAGATCCTAGTTAGCATCCTAGTGCATGCATTACAAAATTTAAAGATACTCCAGTATAAATCTCTGTGAAGTCTCATAAAAGTTTTTGGGTCATTCCAGGAAAACAATTGATACTTACTCTTCTTGCCCAATTCTGTTGAAACTTTATCTTATTCAGTCATAGGTAGATTCTCTTAGTGAAACCGGGTGTCCAAAGCACATTGGAAGACATTTGCTAAATAGGATTAGTGGGGAGCTGAATTATATTTCCATTTCATGTGACTTAGTACTTCATTATAATTTTGTTTTTCCCCTCAGATACGATACGGATCACTAAAATACAGAGTAAAGAAGAGACCCGTTGTATACTTTTAAGTGTACTGCACAATTCCTGCAAGAGAAACTGCTGTACTATAGTAACTTGAATTCAAGTGTTAAAGATCTGTGTACAATGCCTAGAATGAGTCTGTATGAACAGATATGGTAGGACTTGGTTTTGTGAGCCCAAGTGATCAGATAAAGTATTACTCTGTTTTTCTATAATTGTGTCATGTTTAGATTTAAATCTGGACAAGTTACAGCATGGATTTCAGCACTCCTTAAATAGGAGTAAAATGAGTAATAGGAAATACTCCTTTGCCAGAAGTATTGAACAGATTGAAATAATTGCAAATCAAATTGAATCAAGAGAAGCTGTAAGTATGTAGAGCTTGTGAAAATTGAACCATAGTATCCCTAAGTTTACACTGAAAGATAAATATACTTGAAACATTTTTCTGAACTACAATTCCTGAAAAGGCCTTTGTGTAATTTTTAAATGTACAGTTTAAAGGACAGTGGGTGATGGAGGGAAAGGAAAAGGATAGATGAGGTAGGTAAGATACATCCTTAACTTCATCATTTTGTGTCATATTGTCAAGCTTAGCAAACTGGGGTACATACAGCACTTTATGCAAAACTGTATAGTTTTGCACACTTAATGATTTACAACTGCACGTCATTTTAGTGACTTGCTACATAGGCTAGAGTTACATTTTGAATGCCAGCAATTCTTGTATTTCATGATATTTTTAAAATTCATCTTGATTCCTTAAGTACACTTAGGATGCTGTAGATATCTGCTACTAATGATATTATCAGGTGCCTTTCTATGTATTACTGGGCTGTGAAGGATTTGTGGTTTTGGGGCTTTGTTTTTTTTTTTTTGTTTGTGGGTTGTTTTGTTCGTGTCTGTCTTCCTCCATCTAAAGAGATATAACATGATTTAAGACAGATTTTGGTTAAAATTGTGGTAAGTAAAACTTGTAGCAATTCCAGTGATGCACCTCAGGGATCGAAGGAGACTCGCCTCTTGCGGTTACTTTCTCCGAACTGCGGAGTCCCGGCTTCTGCCTTTCTTGCTCTCAATGCAAGCGGAAAGCTTTTGCACTGTGTCTAGCGAGGAGAACGAGTGACAGGACAGCACATGTTTGTGCAGTATACCCCTGCCACTGATGTAAGCACGAATTTGCAGCACCCTATGCCACCCATGGTGTGACAGGTTTCTGTGCTGCTCAGGACATTTCTCTGCAGCTTGGAGTAAAAGGGAATGTTCAACTATTGTCGCAGAGAGCAGCAACAGCAGTAGGGAGCAGCAGAAGGAAGTAGTGATCTTACTTCTTCCACACGACAACTAGCTACTAATCAGCAAGCGTGCGAGTGGCAGATGCTTTCCACTTGCAGTCTGAAAGTCTCGCGCACCAGATGCCTTTTAAACACCTTCCTTATTCGCATGCCCACAGCGCTCTCGCTTTCCACCGCCCGCGCGCTGACCGGCACTCTCTCTCAGACACACATGGTATTTCGGCCGGTTGCCAAGAACTCCGGAAAGCAGCTTCTGCCGAAGGAGGCTCGCCTCTTGCGGTTACCCTCTCCGAACTCCGGAATCGAGGCTTCTGCCTTTCTTGCTCTTAATGCAAGCGGAAAGCTTCTGCACTGTGTCTAGCGAGGAGAACGTGTGACAGGACAGCACATGTTTGTGCAGTATACCCCTGCCACTGATGTAAGCCCGAATTTGCAACACCCTATGCCACTCATGGTGTGACAGGTTTCTGTGCTGGGCAGGGCATTTCTCTGCATCTGGAAGTAAAGGGAAAGAGCAATTGTTGTCGCAGAGAGCAGCAACAGCAGTAGGGAGCAGCAGAAGGAAGTAGTGATCTTACTTCTTCCACACGACAACTAGCTACTAATCAGCAAGCGTGCGAGTGGCAGCTGCTTTCATCTTGCAGTCTGAAAGTCTCGCGCACCAGATGCCTTTTAAACACCTTCCTTATTCGCCTGCCCGCAGCGCTCGCGCTTTCCACCGCCCGCGCGCTGACCGGCACTCTCTCTCAGACACACATGGTACTTTGGCCGGTTGCAAAGAGTCCTGAAAAGCGGCTTCTGCCGAAGGAGGCTCGCCTCTTGCGGTTACCTTCTCCGAACTGCGGAGTCGCGGCTTCTGCCTTTCTTGCTCTTAATGCAAGCGGAAAGCTTTTGCACAGAGTTTGGCGAGGAGAACGTGTGACAGGACAGCACATGTTTGTGCAGCTTACCCCTGCCACTTACGCAACACGGATTTGCAGCACCCTATGCCACTCATGGTGTGACAGGTTTCTGTGCTGCGCAGGACATTTCTCTGCATCTGGGAGTAAAAGGGAAAGTGAATGTTGTCGCAGAGAGCAGCAACAGCAGTAGGGAGCAGCAGAAGGAAGTAGTGATCTTACTTCTTCCACACGACAACTAGCAACTAATTAACAAGCGGGTGACTGGCAGTTACATTCCACTTGCAGTCTAAAAGTTTCGCGCGCCAGATGCCAGTTAAACATGTTTCTTATTCGCTTGCCTGCCGCGCTCGCGCTTTCCACCGCCCGCGCGCTTACCGGCATCGTCCCACAGACACACATGGTACTTTGTCCGGTTGCCAAGAGTCCTGAAAAGCGGCTTCTGCCGAAGGATG